GACCTACTCAGACATCAGACCCAGCACACAGATGAGGTGCTCTGCAGTTGTGAGATGGAGTTGGGGAGCAGTCAGCGCAGACAATGCTTCTCACAGCCTGCAGGGTTCCATGGTCTGGGGAGCAAGCCCATGTGTCTCTACCCACATGACTTGCTCCAGGAGGGCAGCCCAGGGAGGTCGGGAGAGGAAATTGCCAGTTAAAGGCACTTTCTTCACATTGAAGCTGGCTGCACATGGATGATTGTCTTTTCCTTTTGTGTTCTGGTATTTCTCAAGAAAAAAAAAATCACAAAATGTGGAAGATATCATATCAGATTTAAGGAACTGCATGTGGCCACTCACCACCTGAAGCACTAAGATTTGAGCATGTGAGCCCCAGGCCTTCACTGCCTCTGCTAGTAAAGAAAGGAAAAGAGCATGATGTTTTTATGGCACTTGCTTTCCCAGATTTCCAGTGTCTTCATAAACCCGCTTCCAAGGCAGTCAGGAATTAAATAAATGATGTCTCTTAGAAATGACTTGCGGCTACTACAGCAAGTTGGTTTCTTTCTGGGTGGAGCAGCTGTTCCATGATACAGGGCAAGGGCTGCTACTTACACTCTAGGCAGGCATGCAAAAACTGTTTTTATTAAATACTTAAAAAATGGGGACTAGCATGCTTATTGAAGATCATAATTTTAGATGACCTTCCATCTTCTCATGTGATTAGACTGTAACTGACTCAAATACACAGGACTTTAACAACCCTGTTTTGTCATACTGTTAAGTTCGTTAGTAACTTGTCTGTTCCATCAATTATACTGACCAAAGCAGAAGGAGGAAAGAGAAAAGCTATTATATGGCTAAATAATCAAATTACAAAATGTTTAAAAAATAAATCCAATTTTAATATAGTTATTCAATGTATTGTGCTTGTATTTATTTCCCAGTTGCTTTAAAAAAATTTTTTAGTTGTTGATGGACCTTCATTTTATTTATATGCGATGCTGAGAATCAAACCTAATGCCTCACACATGCTAGGCAAGTGCACTACCACTGAGCCACAACCCCAGTCCCTTTTTATGCTTTTTATTCCATTTTAAGTTTATTATAATTTTCTTAGAATATGTACAAGTAGATAGACTGAAGTTGTGGATATTACTGAAAACCTGGGATTTTGGCGACTCATTTTTAAAAAGATTATAAAGGGAGTTATATCAGGTTTTATGTTGTGGGATTTTCCTGAGAGCCATGTAACAAGATGCCAAGAAGAGGTCAGTTCAGTTCCTCATGCTTTGAGGACTGCAGGGGTATCATTTTACCATCTCTCCTCAAGACCTAAAAATAAACCGTTACATTGTGGAGTTGGAGTGTTGTCCTATTATGCTGGGAGGCTTTATTTCTTAAAAACTGACCTAGTGCCTTGGAAGGAGAGAAATCAGAGGAAACAGAGGGTGGACCCTGAAAGATCACATCCATATTATTTGAAATATTTATATAATAATTAGACTAGAATGAAGGTCTGGGACAAGTATAGGACTGACAAAATCCTGGCTTTGACACCAGCCTTTGCCCCTAATCCCTAAGGCAGTAAGAGTGACAGCATATCAGTCTCTAAGGCAGTAAGGGTGGCAGTTCAAGATGTCCAAAGGCCTCTGTTAGAGACACTGGAGAAAGAGATCAGAGAAATCAACTAATGTGGTTATAAAATTCACTTGTTTTATTATTATTTTTGTGGTACTGAGAATTGAACCAAGGGTGCTCTACCACTGCATCCTCAGTCCTTTTTTGAGACATGGTCTTGCTAAATTGCCCAGGTTGGCCTCAAAACTTGGTGATCCTCCTGCCTCAGCCTTCCAACTCACTGGGATCACAGGCATGCACCACTGTGCCCAGATCATTTATTTATTTTTATATAGGTTCCAAATGGCTTGAGTAACTTATTTTTATGTTTGGTGTAGAAATTGAGCACCTGGTCTCATGCATGATGGCCAAGTGTTCTACCACTGAGCTATATACCCACAGCCCTGCTTGAACAACTTAAATAACAAACTGTTAAATAGATTTCCCATGTGAGATTGGCAAATTAATTCTTTCTTCATAAAAAAGTACTTATTAAGACCTCTGTGTCAGGCATTGGGCCAAATTCTGGGGATAAAAATGATTGCAAAAATAACATCAAAATATATTGTTAGGGCATTTTTTTTTGATTAAGAAAAAGCCCTCACAAATGGTGAAAGTGTATCAATGTCCATTTGCATTATACATGGTTAAGATGATTACAGAATTTGTAGTGCTCCTTTTTACCTCCATTTTTGCTCTGCTGCAAAGACTTAGATGTTTTCTGATGAAGAGGACCCACTCTTCCACTTTCCCATCAAGAGTTCCACACAGAAAGGCCTGTAGGACAGCAGGCAAAAGTTGTTGAAACTATCCAAGGCTTGTGTCAACTGAAAATGGCCAGGAACCCTGTAGGCTCTTCTGGAATGCGAGGAATTTTTAGGTAGGGAAAAGAAGAAAAAGCCAACAGAAGCCAAGTATCCTGGGTCAACTCATTTGGAGTGCAGAGCAGAACTTTCAACTAGCAGTGTCAGGGAACACAAAGGGGTCACACAGCTGAGCCAGGCCAGGCAGATGCGATTCTTCCTTAGAGGCTCCGGAATCCCTTCGGCTACCATGACTGCCCTGCAGTGTCATGCACCACTGTGATGCTGGCAGCCACACCAGGTCTTGCTTTGTCTAGCCAGTTCTCCACTGGAATCTGCCGTGAGAGCGCTGTCCCTGGCTTACAGCCTCCTGGAGTAGCCTCAGCAAGAGGCACGGAGGCACCCGAGTTCTGGGGCTACAGCCTTCTCACCCATCCAGTCTTAGTTCCGTTATCTCTCTCCTATGAAGCCTGCTTTAATTTTCTAAGTTTTCTCCCTTCACAACTAGCCCTCTCCTCTGCCACTGAGTACTCTCCCCCATTATTTGTGTGTCTGGGCTTCATAGCTAAGCTTCTGGAAGGTGGGCTCCCCATTGGATTCACCTGTGAGTCCCCTGAGGATCACATACTCACCCAGCAGACACCAGGCACTCAGAATGACATAACGGCACTATCGGACAATCTGATGGTGAAGGCTGTGCTTTCTAAAATGGGTAGGTGGTGGGTCCCTACTGGTCCCTAATGTGGAAGAGCAGGGCTGCTCATGGCCTGGGAAGGTAGGGAGGGAGGGCAGGCATGGCTGGGGACAAGGCTGGGATGGGGGCTGTGACTGCAGCAGGTCAAGAGTCCGCATACTGAGCGTGCTGGATGGAGTGTAGCTCTTCATGTCATCACCAAGCAACTCGCAACTCTTTGTTCCACATTTCATTAAGATGCCAAACCGTTTCCTGAGCACAAACAGCAAATTCTCTATGAAGGACTTTCTTTAATGTCATTTTACTGAGAAACCAAAGCAGGCAGGTCAGCAACTTGTGCCCTCATTTCACATGCTGAGCCATGAGCCAGGTGGGCAAGGGACCTAGCCCTGTCCTTTTTTCTTAAGGTGTTGGCCTCCTTGGATCTAGGGAGCACCAGAAATGGTTTCTTTTATAACTTTATTTTATCCATTTTTTTATGTGGTGCTGAGGATCCAACTCGGTGTCTCACATGTGCTAGGTGAGTGCTTTACCACTGAGCCACAAGCCCAGCCCAGAAATGGTTTCTTCCTCCATCTTCCTGAGAGCACACTTGGTGGCCATAAGAAAGAAGCCAGTTGCATTATCAGCACCTGTCATTTCAATAGGAAATCAGTGTTTCAAAGAACACTTTAGGTCTCCTGTAAGTGCAAACTGCTGTCATTACTCAAGCAGCTTGACTGGGATTGTTGTGTTTCACAGCTCATTACGCTGGTGCAGGAGGAGGCCAGGAAGCATCACCTCGCTGACTTTGGCTGGCTGGCAGCTGTCTGTGAAGTCTCTCACTGAACTTCGCTTGTGTGGTCACACTGTGGTTTTATATAGAAATGCAGGTGAATATGCAGGTGAATGAAGTTAATAAGATATCAAATGACAGAGGGATTTGAGTTCCTGCAGGGACCAAGTTTAGTTCATTTAAAATTAAAAAAAAAAATTGAATTTCTATTCTTCATGAAAAACTTAGCTTTAAAATATAAATCTATTGCAGATTAAGCTACTGTATCTGGGGTTCTTGTCACAGGAACAATACTGGTATTTTCACTATTTTATAGATGAGGAACATCTGGCATACTGAGAAAAGCATCTATCCCAGTTGTTGGAGACTCACTAGGGAACCAAGAGATGGTCCATATTCTTGTCCAGACAACCAAATTACACTTGCCAAGACTTTTACAATTTACAAATTGTGCAAAGAACAAAATACAAAATACCTCAGAAACTATAACCTCTTTAGGAACTAAACATTTTTGTGTCTGTATTAAAACCCCCACACACCTGGCATCACATCTGACACTTTTTCATTTTCAATAGATGACAATTTTAGTAGTTCTAGAAATACTAAAAAGATGGTATCAAAATGTTCCCCACATTGGATACCCTCCCCCAAGTAAACTCTATGCTTGCCCAGTACAGATGCTAGTCATCACAGAGACCGAATGAAAGTGGGACTAGAATTCTGAGCCCAGTGGGGAAGGAAGACCACTCTGCAAGACCAGACCAGAAGTGCTTCCTCTGGCACTGGCACCTGGGACTGCGATCTACTTTGCAGAGTCAGAGCCTCGCCCAGGCAGCACTCAGCCTTTCTCCTCCAAGGGGAACAGCAGTGGTCAGGGAGGACCGGAGTGGGAGCTTTTGCTTAGTTTTCTCAGAAACGCATTCCCTGCAGAGGCCTGTAGCCAAGTGGTTAGGTCCACATAAGCAAAGGGCTTCTGTAAGGCTGAGCTGGGGTCTGCTCTAGGGTAAAAAGGGGTACCAATAGAAGCTGATATCTAGCCCAAAACCATCACTTCATTTAATTGTCAAGAAACTCTTAAAAATAAACATGTTATTCCTTTAAGTTTAACATGTTTATTTTGCTCAGACTGTTTAGGGTGCATTTTGTTGTGTCTAAAAATTTTCAGTAGGGGATAAGAAGAGATTCACAGATGGAATCTCAAATTTACAGCATATAATTTGATTCTTATATACACATAATCAATCAATATTGGGTCATCACACACACAACATTTTCACACTGCATTAACAAACACTACTGAGCATGAGTTATTTTAATACTGATGTTTTTATGATTAGTTTTATTAACAGTACAACATTTTCATGCATTATGAAATTTCACAATATTTGATTCAGTTGAAATCAACAAATATTCAAACCCACATGAGAAAGAATGAAATGAGATTACCTTTTCATATAAACAGTTAAGTTCTAAGAGTAAAAGTTAATATTTGGATTTAAAAACATAAATTTCCAATGCTACTGTCAATTCAATCATAGGTGTACTGCTCAGGCCACAGGACTGCCCATTAGTCGTTCCTGTCGGAGAGCAATTAATCTCTTGAACCACTTTTCCTCAGCTTCTGCTTTCTCTATAAATAACTGAAATAGAAAAGGGAAAGGAAAGTGTTACTGCCAACCAATTACTTTGACCACACATGAACCTTTGTGGAAGACCTCTCTCAGCACAGGTCTGAATACTGTTTAGCCCCAGAACTACTTCATTAAAGTCCATCTGTTGGGAATGAATAACGTTCAGAAGGTCTTGAGAGGACTAATGCTGGCTAACAAGTTGTACCTCCAGTGTGAGTTCCTCTGTCACAGAGATAGCCACACACCACACCTGTGACTCGCTCACAGCCAAAGGAGGGACTGCGGCTCAGCCAGAACTAGGAACTTCAGCCTCTTTATTAAAATGCTCTTCTTTTCACCTGTTTCTTAAGCACAACATACTTCCAGAAGTCGGGCCACATGAGCTGGCCATGCCAGATTCAAATCCATACCACAAGCCCCAGGGCTGGAGACTAGTTGCCTATGCTTAGCAAAGACGACTCAGGAACCCATGTCCTCCAATGGCTATCTTGGTGAAGAATAAAAGGACACCAGTCTGGATTGACTTCAGCTAACTAGACTTCAATGGACACCCCCAGGCTCTAGGGTCTTACATTTGGATGAGCCAGAGAGTTGTCGTCTTGGTACTTGATAGCAGTGGGGATGGCAGGGTCTACTTCCCGTTCAGCACTGGGTGGGTCAGCAACTACTGATGCTGGGCCTGCCGTTGAAGTCGCATGTGTCACTTCACTAGGCTCCACCACCTGGAAGACGCAGCACATGTTGATTTAGACAAGAGCTTTAACAATATTTCCAATGGTGAGTAACTGCTGTCTCCTTTAAGATGCTATTCATGCCCAAAAGGTCCTACATTACTGAATGAGAAGCAATTATTCCTTAAAACAAATACAAAAATGTGGAAGAAATGCTTACTATTTCTGATGATCAGCATATTTAAAAAAACTGGTGCTTATCAGCCTATGCTACTGAAATATCTTATCTATGTATCTATCTATCCTGTGTCTAAATTCTAATAAATAAGCAGGCAACAAACTGCCAGTATTACTTGACCTTTTTAGCCATAAATATGCAAAACCAAAGGTTCTCTCTAAAACACAAATTTAACCTATTCAGACATGATTCCATATCACAAAATTCACCCATCTAAAGTGCATAACGTGATGGCTTTTGGCATATCCATACTATTATCACACACAACTTGACAGAATTTTCACCATACCCTTCCGCCTGACATGTTAACAACCATCCCCCTTCTTCCACCTTCTCATTCCTCTGTAGCCAAATAATCTACCTTCTCTATTGATCTGTATTCTGGATATTCCATCTTCCATTGTATGGATCTATCAGATTTTATTTATTCATTCATATCTTGATAGACTCATAGCCTATCTTTTAAGGTTACTTAAGATGTTTAAAATATAAAAAGGTTTTGAAGAAAAGTACATCATATCTTGGTAAGAAATAAAGCCATAATCTATTACATCATCTTGCAAACTAAAGACAATTCTTTCCACACTGACTTATTGTTCACCAAGTGCCATAAACTATGCCATGTGCAGCGGACACAAATATTAGTGAATCAGCGTTCCTGCCTTGAGGGAATCAGCCATGTGGTGCTTAGTCAGTAAGCTCCAACTCCGTCCTCCCTGGAAAGGCGGTGACCAGGGAGGTGACTGGTCAGCATCAGGTAGCAAGAATAATATTCAATCAGAATTGCCTATTGTTTCCAATTTCCATTTTCTTCTGGATTTTTGTTTTTGGTACTGGGGATTGAACCTTAAAATATTTTACCAGTGAGCCTTTTTTTTTTTTTTAAATCTTGAGATAGGGTTTTGCTAAGTTGCTTAGGGGCTTGCCAAAGTGCCCAGGCTGTCCTTGAATGTGCGATCCTCCTGCCTCAGCCTCCCAAGTCCCTGGGATTACAGGCATGTGCTACTACACCCGACTTTTTTTGACTTACCTACGTTTAATCATTCACTTTTCTGAATGAAGCATAAAGTAGATGTCACTGGGAAACATGTCCAGCGAATGGACTGTGTATGAAGTAGCTAATCCTTTCTCAGATATTATTTACCTTAGGATTGGAGACCTGTCTACTTACCTGCACTGGGGAGCACTGCCAACTGGGAAGCACTGGGCACACAGAGAGAACAAGATAGATATGCCCCTGGCCTGACTGCAGGTCACATGCTGTTGTGGAGTTGGCAGATTACAAACATATACACCAGCATAAAGACATATTCCAGAGTGCAGTGCTTCCTGTCAGGGTATCATCAAGGGGTTGGCACTGAGAATGGGGACCAGGGAGGGCTTCTACTTTAGATTGGGGGGCAGGGGATGCCATTTCTTAGGAGGCACAGTTCAAGACCTGAGAGTGAGATGGAACCAGGCATGGGAGGAGGGAGTGCTTCGGCCAGAGGAAATAGTGAGTGCCCTGTGAGAAGGAGACAGAAAGGAGTCTTGAGGGCAGTACACAGTGGGAAAAGAGTCAGTGAACACTGTAGTCAGGATGAGGAATATGCCACCACTCCACAGGCTGTTGCTTCCAGGGCCACAGCAGGAAACTGGTTCTAGGCAGAGAGCTGGGCTTTCCTTCTGGTTCCTTCCCTCAGGCTCGCCAGGTTGTGCAGCCTGCCATGTGATGCTCAGGCACTGAGCTTCATGCATCTGCTCAAACTGCTGCTAGTGGTGGGAAGGCACACCTGACAGCAGTTGTTCTGTGGCAGTCAGGGTCAGAAGTCAACTCCTGATGCCAAGATCCTTATAAAGTATTTTACTCAATTAAAAACAGGGCATTTACTTTTATGATAGTGGAAGCTGGGCCATGTTCACGGTAGAGATTAACGCTCTAGAAGACAAAAGGACCCTGACGGCAGATCTCTGGGCAGTCATCAAGGTGTCCAGGAACCCTTACTTTTCAAATCCGGAGGTGTTTATGAATACTACATCAAACAATGAATGATACTATGTTTATCACAATGTTACTTACAGATATTTAAGGACATGTTTATTAAATCTGACTTAGTTAAAAGTACACTGAAGAGGGTGGGGATATAGCTCAATCGGTGGAGTGCTTGCCTTGCATGCACAGGCCCTAGGTTCAATCCCTAGCACCACACACACACAAAAAAAAAAGTACACTGAAGCTGGGACAGTGATGCACTCCTGTAATCCCAAGGACTTAGGAGGCTGAAGCAGGAGGATAGCGAGTTCAAAGCTACCCTCAGCAATTTATCGAGGCCCTAAGCAACTGAAAGTGACTCTGTCTAAATAAAATTTAAAAAGGAGTTAAGGATGTGGCTCAGTGGTTAAGAACCCCTGCATTCAATCCCTGTTGCGGGGGGAGCACAGGGTGGGGGTGGGGGGTGGTTAGAACCAGCCTAGGTGTCCATCAACAGATGAATGGATAAAGAAAAAATGTATATATGCACAATGTAATTTTACACAGCCACAAGAAGAATAAAATTATGTCATTTTCAGGAAAACAGATAAACCTAGAGATCATAATTTTGAACAAAATAAGTCAATCAGAAAAGTTGTAAGTTTTCTCTCATATGTGAAAGCTAGAAGGAAAAAAAAGTGGGGGAGGGAGGAAGGCCATGAAATTAGGAGACCAATAATTCTATCTGTAGGATAGAATTCAGGCTTTGGGGAGGGGAGATACTGGGGAGTAAAATTGGATCAATGAATATGACATGCAGGAATGAATATGCCACAATGAAACCCACCATTCTGCAAAATAAATATGCACCAATAAAAAAAATAGAGACAAGCTGGGCACAGTGGAGCATGTCTGTAATCACAGTGACTCTGCAGGCTGAGGCAGGAGGATCTAAAGTTGAAAACTAGCCTTAGCAACTTAGTGAGCCCTGAGAAATTTGGACTGCATCTCAAAATAAAAAATAAAAAGGGCTGGGGATGAGGCTCAGTATTTAAGTGTCCTGGATTCAATCCCAGTACAAAAAACAACAACAAAAAAGACAACTTCAGAGAAACATGGAAAATATAGATGCCATCAGCACCCCAACACTCACATGATATTACCAGAGAACTGCAGAGAAGGCACAAGGAAAAATATTCAAAGAAATAATAACTGCAACTTTCCAGAATTTATTGAAGAATAATAAATTCAGGTATGTTATAGTGCAAATTTATAATTAATTCTAGGTATGTCAACAAATTCAAATTAGAGTAACCACAAAGAGACCCACCGATATGTTATAGTAAAAATACTGGAAGTTGAAGACAAGAAGAAAATCTTGAGAGCAGCAGGAGAAAAGTGTCACTTATAAGGGATCCCCACAACAGTAAGGCAGACTTCTCAACTGAATTAGTGGGTACCAAAGTAATCAGACAGTGTGCCCAAAGTACCCAGCCAGGAGCGATGACCAAGAGCTCTGTATCTAACATCACTACTATTCAACAGCAGAGGTAGAAAATAAAGGCATTCTCAGAATAAAATTGAGAGCCTTCCAGCAGACCCAACATACAAAAAATATAAAGGAATTTCTTTAGGCTGAAAGCAAGTGACCACAGGTGACCATCTGAGTCCACATGAGAGCAAAAACATACAAAGCTATACTATAGGGGACTCTTGCAATGAGCAGATTTTAGGCCCCAGAGCAAGTACGCAGGAAGTGACAGTGTGTCCACTTTCTACCACTGTGTGCACACCGCAGCATCATATATATCTGAAACATTCACAGTGAGGTTCTTTAGAAGTCTTGGTTTGGCAGCTCTTACAGTTTGGAATGAACACCTGCACTCCCAGCTCCAGGTTTCAAACATTTTTATTCTTCCAAACACTGCGTCCAGGAGTTCATGGCCTTAATGATATCTTGACCCTCATACCACTGGGGATATCTAACCACAAAGCCCAGAGTTGTGCTTGGGGAAGGAAGTGTGGCAATCCAGCAAGGCGGGAGGTCAGCGCTTAGCTGTCTGTGTGGTCTTCGAGCTACAGAGTCTCCATGTAACATGGCTCAGCAATGCTCCCACCGCTGAGCTAATAGCTTCCATGCTGAACAGCTTAGATAAGAGGTGGAGTGCTGCTATTCTAGATGCCAAATCCATGGAGCCCTGTTCTTCAAATGGAGAGACAAAACAGCCTATCGTATGTCAGGTTCATCTCATTCTGTGTTTGCCTGTGGGGTACATCAACAATTATCTCTGAGAAGTACATATAAACATACAAAGTGAAGCTCTCAAAGGCTAGAATCAGAACATGGACATTATTATTTAACAACATGCAGTTTAAAAATGTGGGGATAATCATGAATAGCCTTTTTATTTAAGTGAAGAAAAATGTAGAAGAAAATTTTGCCTTGATTATAAAACCTCAAAATGGGTCCCAGGGAACTTCTGGATTTGGGTGACACTGCCACCTGGTGGTTCAGTTTGAAAAATTCGGCTTTACAAGGTACTTCAAGCTGAGGACAGAAGCCCACAGGGCCTTGGCTCTTGAGCCCCCTCTAGTGCACAGAGGGGCTATCTGCCAGAGATAGGACCTGAGGCTTGAGTAACTGACACCAAATAGCAGTTTGGAAACAAGCTGTATCCTGGCTCCTAAAGTTAAGGATACATCAGGAACTATCAGATCCCCTGTCTACTCAGGCCAAAGAAATGCTTTAAGAAAGTTAAACTAGTTAGATAAACATGTCACAGGAGACACAGTGTCTGGAACGCTTTTGGTATCAGCTCCCTAGCTTGATTAGTGGAATTTGCCCAGCTTTAGAATGACTGTGCCAGCTGAGGGGCAGCCAGCACAGAGCAGCCTTCTTCAGAGACACGGACCTCACACCCATAAATGAACTGTCCACAAGAGGAATGAGTGGACAGCAGTCCTCAAAGTTATCTTGCCATGCACTAGGGACAGCCTGACATGTTCCCCATGATCTGCATCCATCCTTGAGGTCCTCACTTCTCTTTGCTAATCATCTCCTGATACACAATTCACCTTCTTGGGCACCTTGAATCCTTGGTAAACACTGCAGACATGAGCATTTCAGCTCTTTTTTAGATGCTACTGTTTGCCTATCACTGGTCTTCTGGTCATTTGGAAGTGTGGGCACTCAGCCGGATGGCTGAGACTCCAGACTGTACCTCCACCAAGGCAAATGCCATTCTGAGGCTTTCTAGTGTGTTCTCCTGGTGACACTACTTCTTACCTTTCAATGCACAGTTTCCTGAAGGAGAGGCACTGAATTAAAAATAAGTTTAAAGTGAAATATTATTGGGTCAAATAGGAAAAAGTCATTTAGAAGAAAAGATAGTATATTAAATATACAGGAGTAAACATTTCCATGAAGAGAAAATGCTAGCTGATTAGAACAGAGTCCAGTATGAACTGAGAAGTCAAGGGAGTTTCAGAAAACAGATACCAGAAGAGCAAATTTAAAAATAAATTACAGTAATTCTATTAGGACAGATGAAGGTCCTTACAATATACAAAAGTAAGGTGTTAAGTAAGATGGGTGTCTATTTCACAGTTGCAGGTTTAGGAGCTGCAACAGTTAATCACCAGAAGCCAAAGATGATCCACCCCTCGACAGCATGGGGACTGTGGCTCTGCAGCACCTGGCCCTGCGGGGGCACGCATGCCCAACTCACATCTTCTGGAGGGATGACTTCAAGAGTGTGTGGAAATAAAAACTTCCACCTCACCTGTGATGGCAAAGGTGCCCACCAGGTCAGGAAGAGTGAGATGAGAGGGCCTGACAGCCTGCAGACCAGCACAGAAGCAGAGGCACCTTGCACTTTGGGTAGAATTTGAGTTGGCACAATGGTCTTGGCAGATAACTTTGGAAACATATTAAACAATATAACCTAAAATAAATAACTTCATCTTGAAAAATGTATTTTGAGGGGATAATAATGGATATTTGCAAACATGTATGTCATCTCTCTCTAAACATCACTAGTTAATTTCTAATATCAGAGGAAAAAAATGAATTATTACATTCATCATCAAGGTATTATACAGCTGTTAGTACATTTGCACACATGCACTATTTTAGAATAGGGGGTAGCCATATCTTCTTTATATTAACATTATTAAACACTATTTGTGTTTTCCAGAATCTTTTTCTAGTAAAGGATTGTAAATTTCTAAAACCATCCTTACTAATGAGAGAATGAATATATGGAAAACTCAACAGAAGCAAAATGTAGTTCAAAAGTCCTTTAACTGGAGCTGAGTGAAGTACCTCAGGACAAAAAACAGATACGTGCTACTGTTGGGGTAATAGTTTTATGATTTAAAGTCCTTTCCTAACTTTTTCTGGGAATGTCAATTTAAAAAAAAGATGTATACATTTGAAAAGAAAACTGCTATGTTCATGAAATGCATATGACTGTTTCAGAACCATCTTCTAACATCTTTGTCTTCTTTGGTAAATTTAAAATACACATCAGATCCATTTGTGCTCTCTACTTCTGCATGGGATAATCTTGCCCTGAATTCAGTGATTTACTCTGGCCCTCCTTAACCTGCCATAAGCAGCACTCACAGCCAAGACTGAGGCCCTCCTGTGCTGGAGTCAGGCCAACTCAATGCTTGTGTGGGCTTACCTTTCTGATTTCCTTACTTGATCTGAATGTCTGCTGGATGAAAGAATCACTTTCAATGGCTTCAATTTCTTTCACTCGTTTTACTTGTTCTCCCAAGGTGGCTTGGTCTAGAAGAAAGGATGTAATATTAGTGTATTTTTGTGTAAGCTTGTCAATACTATACTTAAGCAATGCTCTTTCTTTCTATGAAGTAACTCTATTGGAAATTAATTTAACAAAGAAGGTGGAAGACATTTATAATGAAAACTAGAGAACACTGAAGAAAGAAACTGAAGAAACACAAGATGAAAAGACCTCCCACATTCATGGATGGGCAGAACTACTATTGTCAAAATAGCCAGACTACCAAAAGCAATATACAGATTTCTCATCAAAATACTAATGACATTCTTCACAGAACTAGAAAAATCAGTTCTAAAATTCATTTGAAATAATAAGAGACCCAGAAAGTCAAAGCAATCCTGATCAAGAAGAGTGATATATAGGAGGCATCCCAATACCTGATCTCAAATTATACTACAGAGCTATAATTACAAAAACAGCATGGTATTGGCCACCAAAACAGGCATGAAGACTAGTGGCACAGAAGTCGAAAACACACACAGAGACAGCCACCTGGTACTTGACAAAGGTGCCAAAAATATATGTTAGAGAAAATATAGGCTTTTAAACAAATGATGCTGGGAAACCTGGATATCCATATGTAGAAAAATGAAACTAGGTCCCTATCTCTTACCTCACACAAAAGTCAAATGAAAGTCTACCAAAGATTTAGGAATTAGAGAAGAAATTCTGCAACTGCTGGAAGAAAACATGACCTAAACAATTCAACATAGTGGCACAGGTGTTGATTTCCTTAGCAAGACCCCTAATGCTTAAGAAATAAAAACAAGAATTTAATTGAGTGGGACAGTATCAATTTAAAAGCTTCTGCACAGTAAAGGAAATGATAAATAATTTTGAAGAGAGAGCCTACAGAATGGGAGAAGATTTTTGCAAGCTACTTTTCAGTTAGGGGATCAATGACCAGAATATATAAAACTTAAAGACTTAAAACACACACACACACACACACACAAACACACACACACACACACACACACACACACACTCAAAATACCCACAATAATAAAATGGGCAAAAGAAGTAAACAGACACTTCTCAAAAGGAGAAACAAAAATGGCCAACAAATGCATGAAAAAATGTTCAACATTCTTTTTTTTTTAAAGATGGACACAATATCTTTATTTATTTTATTTATTTTTATGTGATACTGAGGATCGAACCCAGAGCCTCACATGTGCAAGGCAAGTGCTCTACCACTGAGCTATAACCCCAGCCCTCAACATTCTTACCAGTTAGGGAAATGTATATCAAAACTACATTGAGATTTCATCTCACTCTAGTCATTTGTGGCAGCCATAATATAAATGCTGACAAGGATGTGGGGGAAGGGACACTCATACATTATTAGTGGGACTGCAGACTAGTACAGCCACTCTGGAAAGTGCATGGAAATTCCTCAAAAAAAAAAAAATTAGGAATGGAATCACTGTATGACCCAGATATCCCACTCTTTCATATTTCTCTAAAAGAACTAAAATTAGCATACTCTAGTGATATGGGCATATCAATATTTATAGCAGTGCAATTCACAACACCCAAGTTATGTAACCAGCCCAGGTGCCTGTCAGTTGATGAATGGATAAAGAAAATGAGGTATACATACACAATGGAGTTCTATTAGGCCATAAAGTAGGATGAAATTATGGCATTTTTTGGTAAATGAATGGAACTGGAGAACATCATGCTAAGGAAAAAAAAAAAAACCAAACTGAGAAAATCAAGGGTCAAATGTTCTCTCTTATGTGGAAGCTAGATCAAAATAAAAAAAGAGAAAGTGGTGTTGTTGGTGGTGGGTTCATAAAGATAGAAGGAAGATCAGTGGATTAGGAGGAGATGGAGGGTGAAAGGACAGGAAAGAGAAAAAAATGCAGAATGAATTTGATAAAATTATGCTATGTGCATGTATAAATATACCACTGTGAATTCCATCTTTATGTATGGCTATAAAGCATCAATCAAAAACATACTGATCATTGTAATGTTTTGAGCAACTAATAAAAAAATTAAAAGAGAAAAAAACATACTAATGAGTGCAAGGTAGATCAGTAGAATAGAGGAAGAGGAGGAGGGGGACAGAGGAGGGGAGGGACATACATGATTATGTCAAAATGAACCCAACTTTTATGTACAACTATAATGCACCAGTAAGAGCAAACAAATGAACAAGCAAAATAAACAGAAAGAAAAGAAAAAAATTAACTGGATGAAAAGACATTATATTATAGTTAAGCTATAATAAGAACTTTTTATCTTGAGACTCATGTCATGTTGTTACCCTTAAGTACCTTAGTTGGTATTGCTAACAGATAAGGACTTTGACAACAACCTATCTGTAGTATCATTTTCACACTTGGACATACTATAACACTTCCATGCAAAATGTGAATGACTGTCTAGCAGAGTCTTCACTCAGCTCATGTGAACTGGGGTACAAACAAGGAGTGTGCCCCTCACACCTTCAGTTCCTTTCTACTATATAGAGTGTACCATGCTTCTCTTTCACAGCCACATACTGGTCCAAGGAACTGGATTGTGCCACACAATGTCCCGTATTATGGATCTGATTGACTTTATCTCAAAGGATCATTTAACCTATTATGGAAAGCATTCAGGTTCAATTTCTTTTGGTAAAAAACATACTATGGGAGTCACAGCTTAAGTCCCCACATGTCCCACTAGCTGGTGCTTCTCCCACTCTTAGTGATGTTAAGATTGACCAGAGTTCGTCTAATCTTCTAGTGCTTCCCCTCCCTACTCCACTATGAATCAGACTCCTTATATCAGAGAAAACATTAGGCATTTGTTTTTTTGAGTTTGGCTAACTTCACTTAGCATTATATTCTCCAACTCCATCCATTTACCTGCACATGTCATGATTTTATTCTTTTGTTGCTGAGTAATATTCCATTGTGTATATATAACACAATTTCTTTATCCATTCATCTACTGAAGGGCATCTAGGTTGGTTCCACGCTTTAGCTGTTGTCAGTTGTGGGGCAATAAACATTGATGTGGCTGTGTCCCTGTAGTATGCTGTTTTTAAGTCCTTTGGGTATAGACTGAGGAGTGGGATAGCCAGGTCAAATGTAGTTCTATTCTAAGTTTTCCAAAGAATCCCCATACTGCTTTCCATATTGGCTGCACCATTTTGTAGTCCTACCAGCAATGTATAAGTGTACCTTTTCCCCGACATCCTCGCCAACACTTATTGTTGTTTGTATTCTTAATAGCTGCCATTCTGACTGGAGTGAGATGAAATCTTAGAGTAGTTTGATTTGCATTTCTCTAATAGCTAGAGATGTTGAACATTTTTTCATATATTTGTTGGTTGATTGATTGTATATCACTTCTGAGAAGTGTCTGCTTAGTTCCTTTGCCCATTTATTGATTGGGTTATTTGTTATTCTAGATAGGGCAAAGGGGAGGGAGGGGAAGGGAGAGAGCAAGGGGTGTAAAAAAGATGGTGGAATGAGATGGACATAATTACCCTAAGTATGTATGAAGACATGAATGGTGTGAATATACTTTGTGTACAATCAGAGATATGAAAAACGTGCTCTCTATGTGTAATATAAATTGTAACACATTCTGCTGTCATATATAACAAATTAGAATAAAAATAAAATTTAAAAAAAAAGATTGACCAGCCCGAGCCTCCACCATAAAATTCATCAAACTTTCACTTAATGATTCCAGTAATGTCGATGTTTGGTTCTCAGATCAATTATTTCATTAGAGGCTGTAAAATGGTAGCTTTCTAATTCTAGTACTGTTCCTGCCTTTATCAGCTCTGACTCTTCTGTAATGAAGAGCTTATCCTATTTGGTGGCCCTGAAATACAGCCTATATAGAAAAGTCATAAAAGTCACAAGAAAGGCTTGATTCTTTCCCTTTTTTAAAAATCAATTTTGGTCTGAACATGATAAAAAACAACCACTATAAATTCAGAATATTTATAGGCCCACTATATTTCAGTCCGCAGTAAGTAGTTCCCCATGTTGGTGCTTGAAATGCTCCAAGTGGTGCCTGATCCCTGGTAGTTACAAGGTGTGGCAACACAACCCAGAATCCTCTTAATTTCTTGCCCCAGCCCTGAAATGAGCCATTGCTCTGAAGAGCCTGGACTCCTTTTGGTGGGGAATGACATTCAGAGATGATAACCTGGCATGGAGGGTGTCACTGTTACTGAACCGCCATTGCTCCTGAGTCTTCCTAGGGGTGGGATAAGATATATACTTTTAAAACAGAAGACTAAATATGAGAGAACAGCTACGCGCGCCTGCAGGGAACGCGGACAGGACCCACAAGTAGGACAGGGCCGGCGGCTTGCTGAAGGGCAGGCCCATCCCCTCCCCCAGTGTCTGCAAGGTAGGCGAGACCCTGACCACCGGCAGATGGCCCCAGCGGCCTGCTGAGGGGTGGAACCGGCCCCTCCCCCAGTGCCTGCAAGCTAGGCGAACCTGCAACCCACGGGCGGGTCAGGTCCAGCAACCTGCCGAGTGAGAGAACAGCTACGCGCGCCGGCGCGGACAGGGCCCACAAGTAGGACAGGGCCAGCGGCTTGCTGAAGGGCAGGCCCGTCCCCTCCCCCAGTGTCTGCAAGTTAGGCGGGACTCTGACCACCGGGGGATGGGCCGAGCAGCCTGCTGAGGGGTGGAACCGGCCCCTCCCCCAGTGCCTGCAAGCTAAGCGAACCTTCGACCCATCGGGAGGTTAAGCCCAGCAACCTGCGGAGTGACAGAGGTGCCCCTCCTGCCTGCTGGGTAGGCGGACCTTTGACCGACCAGCAGAGCAGACCTAGGGCCTGCCAGCGTGGTAGACGGATCACACCAATTGGAGGAGGATCACAGCCACTACCTGCCCTGCAAGGTGATCTTTCAACCATACAAGAGCAATATAAATAAATAGAGGGAAAATTTCAAAAACACAACAGTTTCACCAAGCAGAAAGAAACGCCAGCAGTATGAAAAGACAAGGAAAG